ATCCATTCTCCTTTCGATTGACAGTTGGGCACTTTCTGCTTTTTTTTGTTTTGCTATTATGCATAAAGCTGTTATAACCATTCTTCTAAAAGTCATCTTGTGAATTTCATTTCTCTTGGTTAAATACCACAGGGTGAAATTGCCGGGATCAGGTGGATGCTTGCTTCATTTTATAAGAAACTGCCAGACATTTTCAAAGAGGTTGTACCATTTTATACTCCCACCAACAATGTGTGAGAATTCTGATTGCTTTACATCTTTGTCAACATCTGGTATTGTCAGTCTTTAATTTTAGCCAGCTTAGTTAGTATGTTGTGGTGCCCTATTGTGATGTTAATTTGTATTCCTTTGATGACTAATGATGTTGAATATGTTTTCATGTGCTTATTAGCTATTTATTTTTCTTCCTTTGTGAAATGTTTGTCCGAACCTTCTGCCCATTTTTAATTTGTTTATCTTTTTATCATTGAGTTCTAGGGGCTCTGTTTTTTTTTAAGTGAGGTACAAGTGACATAAAACAGTATATTAGTTTCAGATATACAACAGAATGGTTTGATCTTTGTATATATTGCAAAATGATCACCACAATAAATGTCACTAATGTCCATCACCACATGTAGTTACAAAACATTTTTTCTTGTTATGATAATTTTTGAGATTTACTCTCCTAGTAACTTTCAAATATGCAATACAATATTATTCACTATAGTCACCATGCTGTACATTATATCCTGTGACTTATTTAGTTTATAGTGGAAAGTGTGTACCTTTTGCCTTCATTCACCCACTTCACTCACCACCCACCCCCTAGTCAGCAGTGTTCCCCAACCACACGGTGCAGAAGGATCACCCCTGAGACTCCACCCTAAGCCCAGGCCTCCAGAGCTGCCCTGTTCCAAGCCTACTTCTCTGCGCATATTGACAGATTCCTCTCCAGCTCCCAGTCCGTGGATACGGGACTGTTCACCTGACATCAGAGACACTGACACTTTGTATCCTTGAACGCCCCAGCTTCCGTGGACCCGCAGTGCCTGAGGGCACCTGTCCACCTGGCCATGCACAGGCAGGCAGTGGGTGGATGGCGGCCTCCCACTGATGGCCTGTCATTTTGCAAAAGTCACCTAAACTGAGCCATCAGGCTTTCATATGGGGATACCTACGTCGCAGGGGGGCATGGGGATTAGCGGGGTTCTTTATATATTCTGGTTACATGTTCTTTGTCAGATAAATGAGAAAGGGATGGTTAGGGGAGCTCTTTTAGGTTGGAGGGTAAGAAATCTGAGAAGATGACATTTAAACTGAGACCAGAATGGCAAGAAGCCATTTTTTTCCCCTAGGGGAAGGGATCCTAGGCATAGGGAACAGTTAATAAAAAGGCCCTTAAGGAACCCTATACACTGTTGGTGGAAATATAAATTGGTGCAGGCACTATGGAAAACAATGTGGAGTTTCCTCAAAAAATTAAAAATAGAACTACCATATGATATAGTGATTCCACTTCTGGGTATTTATCTGAAGAAAATAAAAACACTAATTTGAAAGGATACACATACCCCATGTTCATTGCAGCATTATATAATAGCCAAGATACATGGAAGCAACATACATATCTATCAGTGGGTGAATGGAAAAGAAGATGTGGTTTATATACACAACAGAATACCCCTCCGTCATAAAAAAAAAAAGAGATCTTGCCATTTGCAACAACACGGATGGATCTAGAGGGTATTATGCTAAGTGAAATAAGTTGGGCAGAGAAAGACAAATACTATATGATTTCATTTATATGTGAGATCTAAAAACAAAACAAATGAATAAACAAAACAAAACTCATAGATACAGAGAACAGATTGGTGATTATCAGAGAAGAAGGGGATTGGGTGGTAGGCAAAAGGCTGAAGGGGGTCAGCTGTATGGTGATGGATGGTAACTAGATTTATTGTGGTGATCACTTTGTGATACATGCAAATATAAAATTATTATGTTGACTACCTGAAACTAATTTAATGTTATATACCAATTTGAAGTCAATAAAAATACATATAAATTAAACTGAAAAAGCTTAAGAGATATATTTAAAAATGGCCCTTAAGGTAAGTTGGAGCTGGGCACAAACTATCCAAAATACCTGTTTTAGGCAAACTAAGGTGTCAGGGGCTGCTTGCTTTAAAAATTACCGCAACTGGAATAAGCTGATGCTATAGTTTTACTCTTTCTTAGTACTATAGGACTTAGCAGTTTCTCAACACCCTCCTTGTTTTTCCCATACCCTCCAGATCCTAGGTTCCAAGATGATTTGAAGCTAGGAACTGTGGATTAGTTAACACAATGGTCAACAGAGTTAAGGCTAAGTCAGGAAATGTATTCCCCTTAAAGGTGACCAAGTGATAGAACAGATCAAGGTTTGCATAAGTAAAAAGTGACCACACTTATCTTTGTAAAACAGCAATGTTCTACTCTTCTGCCTTTACATTTAGATTGTCTAATGTAAGACTTTATCAATACAATATCAATTCAATGAGTGGAATACAATTTATTTTTGAAATTTTGCTCAGTTTAAGGAGAGATGGAAGAAAAGGTGTGGGAAGGAATAGTGGAAGATGGAGATACAGAGAGAGTCAAATAGAATGAAACACATAGATATGAATAACTGGAGATCTATCAAGAGGAGGAATAACAGAGTTCAAGAGGGAGGTAGAGGAGCTGAGAAAAAAAAAAAACCCGAAGGAGAAGCCATAAGTTAAATCTGTTTTGTGTGAGTGTATTCCTCTTGTGTCTTTGGGCTATGGGTACCATAGTAGTCTATTATTGCTTCCTTTGAAAAATGTGATGGTACTCTTTAATAGTATTTAATATACACCTTTCTTCTGTGTTTCCTTTCTGATGAGTTGATCCATGCTCTACATTAATGCCAAATTCCTCTAATGATTTCTTTCCCTTATTTCCTTCCACCAGACTGCTTTTTTTCTCTAATCAAAAGGCAGAGATTCTTTAAGTTAATAAAATAACCTCCAGTGCCCATTCTCCCATATTTCAGATGAGAAGTAACCTCCAATAATAATCATGCCTTCTGGTCATCCTGGTTGCCACCCTTCTTGAGGCAAACTTCACACCTACTGTCAGGGTTTTGGACTAAAAAAAATGTGTGGTTCTGAAAGAACTTATGCTAAGTAGAGATAGTATATAACTGAGTGGGTCAAAGTTGGCCCCATGGAGACCAGCAAGTTCCATGCAAAAACCACAGATCATCTGGCCAATGGTTTGCTATACCCTGATAAAGGTCTAAGGAGTACAGTTAGCTGGAGGTAGTGCCTATGATTTGCTGGGCCCTACTCTGGTCAGAACTGCTGGAAACAGGGCATTGATGGATTTGGCAGTCTCTTAAAGGAGTGAGATGGATGGCTGCTTCCTAATACTTTCCACTAGGAGAAGCTCAACTGAATCTGGAGAAATAAAACCCGCCCCATTTGTAGGACTGGTGGCTAGAAATTCAATGTGCATATATGTACCCAAGGAAAAATTGGTCAAAGATATATAGATAAACTGATTAGCCATGGACTGGAGATGTATACCATAATAAATGGAACATTACAGACTATTACAGACTGGTCTCTTGCAGGAAAAACAATCTGGTGGAGGAAGATAAGAAAAAAATCAATGAAAGAAATGTAGCAATTCAGGTAGGACATGTACCAACTCATCAGAACAGAAAAAATAATCTATTTAGAGTAAAAGTGGAGACAATTTGACCCCCAAAACTAATGTAGACTCTACAGTCTTGGGGACTCCAAGTCCAAACTCAACTCCCTTGTCAGTTCAATTTAAGGTCACAGAACAGGTACGTGCAGCCCCATGGCATATGGACATGAATGCTGTAGGTAAGCAGAGGAGAAAGAGTAGGAACAAAAACGTACGAATCAAACCAACAAACAAGTAAACAACATGAAACATGTCAAATTACTAAAAACCTGCATCTTCAACAAACTCATTTTTAAGAGGAGTGGTACATGTGAAACCAGACCAATGTGTGAAGTAGATTATACTGGGCCAATCTTTAGATTTTTAAACAAAGAATATTGTCTTATAGAAGTATAAACTTCCTCAGGAAGAGTATTTGCAGAGCACACCAGACATGCAGTTGAGAATAATATATCTGTAACTTTAAACAATATTGAAGGAACTAGCTGTTAGATATGCAATATTGGCAGTAATAGGAAATTACCCAGGAACTAATTTTATAACAGAAATTGTCCAAAATTTGGCAAAAGACAGACTGTGGGACTTTAGTTTCACAAATTCCCCAGGCTGCAGCGGCTATAGGAAGCCTTAATGAATAGAAGACTAAAAACACAAAGAATTTAGCAGCACCAGATATAAGTGGCAGTGAGGTAAAGGTGCTAATAAAGACAGAATTAATTGAAAGACTTTGAGTGAATGTAACTCCCTTAATAGAGATGTTCAAGAAAGATGGACAACCTATGCCCACTTTGTTCTCAAATCCTCTAAGAAGAGATAAAGAAATGAGAAGTGTGAAGGAAAGTGAGTATGAGTGGAAGATCCTCATAAGACCATCAAAAGGAGGGTGAATAACTAGGAATACTCTTTCATCCTTATCCTATAGCCAGAACCTGCAGGATGGATAAAGGCTCAAGGATACTAATCTTTGTATTTCTCTTTTCTATTATTAGATCTGCTTTGCCGTTCTCTTTTGGCTGTGGCAGTCTGTCTGGTGGTCATTGTAATAGCAGTTTACTACCAACACAAACAAGACTGCCATATATAAATTTTGTGGGAGGTTCACCAACTTTATCAAAAAGTGCTGTGGGACCACTGGCCTCATTCTGTACTTGATCATCATCATAATCATATCAACAGCCTCATTTCTTGGCCAAACCAACCATAGAACCCAGGAACTATCAGCCCCACAGGATCCATTATCACCAAGAGCCCATTTGATACAACTTTCAGTAATATTTATCTACTGAGGAGATCATTGAGGCATGGAGCCTGTGTCAATCCCTGAACTGGTTGGTGGACTTGTTGATTGTGTAGCCCAGTTAATAAGAATAGCTGAAGAGCTTTTACAACTGATTTCACAAGAACAAATTCCATGTAGAGAGCAAAATGATAGAGCAGAACAGATGGAAGCAGATGCATCTTCTCCTGAAGAAGGTTCACTCCCAGACCTTTCTGATTTCTCAGACTTAGAGTCAATACTTACACCAAGAGAAGATGGAGACTTAATCTTTGACATAGATCAAGCGATGTTAGACATAGAAGACTTATATGAAGATGTACTCTCTGGCATAAACGAGGACTTAAGAAGTGGTTAGGATTTAATTTGCCCCCAGCAGCATGTGAGAACTGATCATTTTTCTGTTTTAAATAGATTCAGACTTTTCTGAATGCTAGCAATGTGAGTTTTCTCCTACTTCTGTATATTTTCATTACTAATACCTTATAGAACAAGCAATACTAGATTTACTTCCAGTAGAAGATAATCTCTTTTCCTCTTTATGTTTCTTTTAAAAGCTCCAACGTTAGCTATATCGTTCTTTCTCTACCTGTCCTTGTTCTCCTGTTAGGGTTACTAATAACAGGAGCAAACAATACCAAAAAAATAAACTCCTCATCTAATAGCGGAGCGAAGACCTCACGGACTCTATCACATAATAGAACCCAATGGTATTGTTCTGCACATGGAAACCAAAAGGGTAATATTCCCCAGGATTGTATTATAATGAATACATCACATTGACAAGATAGTTTTGGAACACTTTTACTTGAAAAGTTGTAACTCCTTACTAGGCCTTTAGGAGAGGATGTGTCAACCAAAGGATGCTATAGGAGACCAGGGGAAGCAATTTTGAAAAAGCACCATCTGTCGGATAATAAAACAGTAGAAAGCTTTTCAGATAACTTTTGCAGAGAGAAACCTTTGAAAAAGCCGAGGCCAAGAGGTTCCGATGCAGGATTTTTCCCTCAAACGATGACCCACACTGCAACTAGTAATCAATATTGTTCCTCAAATGGAAAGGACTAATTAAATCATATAATGATATGAGTATGCCAGTACTAGAACATCTAAACAAAACCCCATGAGGAGTGTTCACCAGTGGAGAGTCAAACACTCATGGCATAGGCTCAGATGTGACGGTCCGCAAATAGAAGTGGATAAAATATATCTTCTTGGGTATAGCTAGATTTATAAAGAATAGCTGATAGAAAAAAAAAGAATAGCTGATAGGCTTATTATAGTGAACCTGCTGCCACTTTGACATAGAAATCTTAACTATTGACAAATGGAAGCAATGATGAATCTGAATAAAATAGGAACTGATATTTAGCCCCAATAATTCTACAAATAGCAGAAGGGTAAAATGCAATAGTTGGAGGACCTCCCTCCCCATATCAAACCAGAAAGAGACCCAATAAATGTGTGGGAAATTCACTGCTTATAGTCATTCCATGCTGTACAGCAGTCTCATTTCCATTTGGAGAAATAGCTACCCTTCAGAGAAGCCCATGATCACTATGGTCCTCCTTCCTAGAGAATGACCTTTGTGTCCTACAACATGGGCAACAACTGGTAAAGGCATTAAAGTGTATTTAGGACAAATTGGTGTATTCAAATTGTGAAGAAATGATATGAAGTTAATTCACGCTGATGGAAAACAGACTATACCCAATTCATTGAGTCCTAAAGCATATTATTGGCAAAAAGATTAAAAACACATTGAATACAGAGAGCTCCAGAGCTAGCCAACATGACAGATGCTGTATCTAATCCTAAGCAGGGTCTACACACACGGATAATTAGCTGCTTTTAAAGGTAAATGTGGGGGAAAATTAGAGATCCAATGTGGATGAGCAATAACAGAAGAAGCATAAGTCAGTCTTGCCACTGAATTTCAGGATAATTATGTAACAAATTGCAGAAAGAGACTGCTGTATCAAAAAAAAAAAAAAGCTACCACAGACCCTTTCGAAAATGAGAGGAACTTAGGGAGCTACTCAAACATGTTACTATGAGAAAGTTCCATAATAGACTGCTACGTGGAAAGACAGAGGAGATGAGGATCCAGGACACTTAGACAGGTGCACAAAGAAACAAAGAGGAAAAATAAAAGTTTGATCATCAAGCAACTACTGTGGGTAATTACAAGCCAGACAAGACATCGGATTGAGGGACTTGGCTACTGCACTGAGTGAACAAATCAAGCCTTACTTTCCTAGAGTAAGGGACTCTAGCTATCGCAGTATGTCCAAAATGGCAAATAAGAGATGCAGCACAAAGGGACTATGTGAAATTAAAATATAGTGCTGGGAAAGCAAGAAGAAATGGTTTATCCCACCATTCCATTAGGAGCAGTTTTACAAGGAGGATTTGTGATAACAATTAAACAAGGAAATCTATACATGTAGCAACCAAGAAGAATCACAGAGGAATTGGTTAAAGTTAAAAGATAGAATCTACGTTTTAATTAAAGGTTTGAAAAAAAAGGTTTGGAAACAGCCAGGGAAGATACAAACTCTCCACTAGGAATTTGGACTTTAGGAAATTGGCTATAATTTTGTGTCAAAATAAAATCCAAAGCAGGAGTACTTCGGCAAAATCAGGAAGCATCCAAGGAGAGACCATCAGTCTGTTACAAATTCTATTTAGTGAGCAATTTCACTGTAAATGGACAGATCTGGTGCTCCTCATATATGATAGATACTGAAGGGTGGCTATTCCCCTAAGTAGAACTCTGGAATATAGACTTTAGAGCAATTCTGCAATGGATTAGTGTGAGCTTACTAAAACTGTTAATATTAATGAGAAACCACAAGCAAGCAAACCAACTCAAGCAGGCCATCAAAATACATCAAGAGAAATCTGTGTGACTACTCCAGACCTTGAAACAAGATAAAGCTTGAAGCAGCCTATAAAACAACTATGTGTCAAAACTGGAAGATGTGTGAAGCTGGGTAGCCTCCTGGTTCCATGGGTCACGTGGAAAGATTGTACTATAATGATGCCTCAGGATTAGATAAAATATATTGCAATGTTTGCTTTGTGTGATTATATGTGTTTAAGAACTGTTCAAGTGTAACCCCGCTCCAAACAATGGGTTGTTGTATTAAGTGTGTATAGTGTTGATAGTGATAAGAAGTAAGTGTAGGCAATAATAAAATACTTAGGAACAAGAGCGAGTAAGGAATAGTATTTTCAGGAGAGAAGAAAAGCAGTAAGTTGTATAGAATAGTCATGCGGCTATTTAGAGTGGAAAGCCATGGTATAGAGTTCCTAAGCAGGTTTATGAACAAAGCCTTGTTTTTGTAATATGCAAATTAACTAACCCTAAGTCATTGATATTGATAGAAATAGCTGGTTGGCGATCAATACAGGTCATGCACTTAAAAGCCCAATTAGAGGGAGATATGTTAATTAAATTAGCAGTACACTGATTGAATACCTCTGATTGGAATCCAGGAGAATGGAGAGAGTGGCTAGTACATTATTTAAACTAGCCCTTTTCTGGACCTTCTTGAGACTAACACCAAAGCCAATTCTTGTATGGCACAGAGGGATAAAGGGGGAGACAGGCTCATCATTCTGAGACAAACTTGAAGATGTGAAAACCCAGGGAGATAGGTTGGAGCTGGCAATGAACTAGGAAGCACAAGTCTTTATCCTTCTGTGTTTGACTAATGTGCATGAGAGGTTGCAACTACATAATTGCATCCTTATGTGATGATCAATGTCAGTCATTAAATTATAATTGAATATCATCTTTATTTGCTGTTGATCCATGCCATTTTATTGCTATGTGTTTTATCAGATTTTAACTAATAAACTTTCATTCACAAATCAAAGAACGTGTGTTCATCTTAAATTACCTGGTGGTGAACTTGAAGGTACAAAACCAGCATAAAAGAACCTCACACGGCAGAAGATGGAGTACACTCAGAGACAGTATTGTACCAGGAGTCTGAAAGTTCTACTTCTGGCTTTATCTGATAATCCTGAACAAATCTCTGAAATATAGTTCTTTCTTGTTTGTAAAATGAATTATAATAATTTTTCTGCCTAACTTCAATGGTAATAAGAAATAAATACAGTGGTAAAGTTTTCAAAGACTTTCGGATGATATATCTGACAAATGGGACAATATATGAAATCAGGACTTTTTAGGAATATCTGATAAATGTCCATATGACAATGCCCAAGGGTCTATGTCACATGGAAAGATTATACAATAGTTTTACACCTGTTTTCTAAGAGATTAGAGCTTTCCTATTATACTCCATGTCAAAGTAATACTTTGGAATCAGATTTTGTTTCATTCTTCTGAGCTTTTTTATTTTTGAATCACCAAGTTAAATTCTTTTTGGGAGTCCACTGGAGTGCTAGTAGGAATAGTAATGAGTTAAAAGCCAACAATGAAAAAGTCTTCCAGGAAATAGTAAATTATATTCCATTTAAAGTTAAGATTTTATTCCTGAGGGGATTATGTAACTCTGAACATTATTAACCCACTATTACCCAACTAGATTTTTACAATAATTTTTTACATAAAAGTTGATTACTGAATTCTTGTATTGATAGCATTATCTCAATAGACTAAAGGTACTGAGCCATATTATAGGGTATATACTTATTTTTTCAAGGACCCTATTCCTCCAATCCATATTTAAAACTTGTTTTTCTTCTGCCTATATAACCCTTAGTTCAAAGGCCAGTCAGCTAACCAACCAACCAACCACCACCACCACCACCAACAACAACAAAAAAAGTAAAAAAAGAAAAAATAACCCCTAATTCCTTTAGTTATTTGGGAGAGTTTTGTATTGACAGATACAACTACCCATACAGTATCAAATGTCACATCTCTTTAGTTTTTTTGGGAAGTTATTTGTATTGACAGACACAACTACCCATAAGTCTCAAATGTCACATCTCTTCAGGGTAATAGTCTTTGGAGGTCATCTCCATTAGACTTCTGAAAGGTGGAACTGCATTTTAGCAAGGTAAGGAAAACCACTGAATTCTCTACCCCTTGTCACAATTTCATCTTAAAGATCTTAGTAAAATGCTGAAAGCATCTCAAGAGAGATTTTTGAGTTTAACATAAGTATTCATGTAAAGTGGACCAGGGAGCTGCAGTTATGAAACATAACCTTAGCGTTTCAGATTCCTTTAATCAAAGATGCTATTCACAATAATCATTCATTTCCAAAAGCATCCAGACCATGAGCCCTCCTTGATTACTAACTACCATGGCCCTAGTATATACGGTAGGGTCTTTTGTTATGAGTTCTCATAGAAGTTCTCCTTCAGATCACTTAC